AAAAAAAAAAAAAAAAAAAAAAATGAAAAAAAAGATCCTTCCCTCCCTTTATTAATATTTGTAAATTCACGCTTTCTAGCAACAGAGTATTGATATAGTAACAATGGAATTTTAACTTAATCGAATAATAGAAAGAATTGTTAAAAGAATATTATAAACATTGAAAGTAGACTGTAGAATCACTTTGCAACATTGGTGCTTTTTAACGAACAGAAGAAGAACATTTCTAGATTCTGCACTGAGAACACAACTCATACTATTTTCAACAATTAAGCACGGCATATATTTTTGATTGAGATAAATCTGCGCTCTACGATAGATTTCTCTTAATTGAGGATCCATTATATTTATAGTGCTATTTATTTTATGAAATTACATAATCACTTGTAAATCCATTAAAAATGAAAAAATAGCTTTCATTAAAAAAATGTATAAAGAATTGTTCATAGAAAGTTTTCTAAATTACGTTTATACGAATATATCACTGAAATATTGAAGGAAAAAAAAACATTGCGGTGGCGTGCGCATGACTGTTCGCTGCTATGCGTTCACAAAGGATCACGATTTCTATATTATTAAGGTCGATCGCTGTGAGCCGTACAATTTACAGCGAGCATGTACGGCTTTAACAATTAAAAGCTTATAGCAAAAAAAAAAAAAAAAAAAACGAGTAATATATAGCTGCAGAAAAAGAAAAGATACCACCCGATACCTGACGCATAACCATCTTTAAATGACGGCGAATACAGCATACATTGTTACATAAACGAGTATAACAAGTATAAGAAAATCGTATCGTTGCATGACAGATATACCTAAATGAAAACTATTACTACGTGATACGACATTATTATGTAAAAGTTTTTATTGCGTGAGTAAAATTATATTATGGATGAAAATGTGTACCTTGTAAATAATAAATCTCGTCCTTTTCTTCGTGCATCGAACACTACCAACCAAACAATATCCTTTGCACACACGTTTCAATCAGAATTTATTAATGATCGTCTTTCTTACATTCTTGATAACTATTTGCGTCCAATCTACAAACAACTTTTAACTATCAAATTCTATTCACTCGTTAATTGATTGGAATACATTTTCCAACAAAAGGAGACTGCATTATTTCACGAAAAACGATAAGAAATTAAACGGACCGTTTGAACGCGACACATATCATTTGCAAATGGCGTCACGTTCGTAGTCACGTGATCGTAAATTTCTGTTGTACCTAACGAAGGTATCTATATTGCTAGTAAGTATTTATTTCTGCCGATAGATGGCAAACTAATGTAAAATTGACAGCATCGTTACAATGGAAACGCTTGTTTATTGAAAATTAATTTCATTTTGTTTCTTCAATAAATCATATTTGATTTCTGAATACATGCGTTCTTGTTCTTACATTTGTCCTCACATTTCAAAGATATAGTAGAATATAAACATTTTCAACAATGTTGCAGACCAGAAACTTGTGTATCTCCTTTTTAATCAATACTGTCAGCCTTTCATACAAGTATCATCACGTTAAATTTTCAAATTGCATTAATGTTGTACACAAAATATGATATATATAAGATAAAGATCGTATATAGTAAACTGTAAAAGTATATTCATGCTTACATGTATATATGAGTGTAAGTATACACATCCACACACTTTGGTTAAACCAAAAAGAACTCAAATCGAATCGAATAGATTTCGGAAAGGATTGTTTGCGATTGAGTGAAGGAATATTTTTATTAATGCATATTTTTTAGTATTAAAATTATTTGTGCCAGAATCAAGAATATCATTTTAAGCTTGAAAATAGTATTAAATCTCACCTAACTTTTTTACTGTCGACAGAACTACAATTACATTTTTACCTAACTTTTTATTGTGATCCTTACAAATGAAAAAATAGGACGCTCCATTTTTCTTTGTTTCATGTTGCGTCCATAAAATAGAAGCAAGGTTAAGGTGCACGAACGTCCTTATATTTCGTATTCATCACTTTTAAGTACAATTATCAATGTGTAATGTATGATATTAACAATAAAATATAATACTTAAAACTAGAATATTATACTGCCGTGGTTTAATATTTTTCACTTGTCTTTATTAAAACTGAACCTATAAGAATTTCTTAGCCCTCTATATTTACTTTTTGTCATTTTCTTTATCCTGTCGATTTTTTAAACATAATAAAACAAATCTATTAAAATTGTTTTTACAAATTGAATACACAAGGAAGAATGAGATATCGCGAATATTGTGTTTAATATAATTCTGCGAATATAAAGTATCATTGATCGTGCCCGACGACCTCATATTCACTTTCTTAAATTATACAAAAAACAGACTATTATCTCGAGAAAATGTATCCTGACACTCTATTTAAATATTGATATTTGTTTATAAAATATATTATAAAATAGTTTCCTTTATTCTTAAATAAAAATATAAATAAGCAATTTCTAAAACATTCTAGGATATTTCGTTTTAAGAAAACTGAACAAATTTGAAAACAATGATATAACATTTTAAAAGAAAAGAATAATATTCATTGTAACAAAATAATAACAAATGTAACAAAACTGCAAATCACATTGTAAATAATTTGCGAGAACCTCAATTGTGAAAAACACGAGAATACATTTATAAAAAGAACATAAAAGAAATCATAATTAGATAAAATAATTATTCTGACTGCAATACTAAGTAGCAATTTCATGGTTTTATACTTTTATAGTAAATATTCCGGCTATTTTTTTGCACGCAACAAGGAGTACATATTAACATGCACTTTATGAAAAATACAGCTCAAACAATATATCAAATGTTATAAAAAAAAAATCATAAACGTGAAAAAAGTGCTACGTACACAATATCAAGCAGTGTTATACTCGTCTTTAATATATACATATATACATATATACGCATTATTGTAGAAAATTTCGGTATTTGTCGCATAAGCTTCTCTCAATTTCCAGCTCCGAGGTATCGCGATGTTTCTAGCATGTGTAGCCATATCGTCATTTCCGCTTACCACGTAAATAGATTCAAAAAGTACTACTCTTATTAGAATCTTCACTCGAATCATTCTTAATATTCTGGACTAAATATATTTGTAATTAGTTTCACAATTTTTAAAGATATTCGCTTGAAATTTTTATGCGGGAAATTGCCAGTGAGTGTCGACTATAACAGTTCACATGATAGAATGTTCTAGAAATCGGGCGGGCTTCCGGCAGGTGCCTTCTAGAATTTTCAAAGCTCGATAAAAGCGGCCGTTGCGCGCTAGTATTCAATACTCTGAAAAGTGACGGCAAGAGAGACTGATCTCTGTGAGTGGTATAAAGCTATATTTCGCCTACGATTATACGTGCAACGTATTCTCAACGTTAGTGTAAAGCAAGTTATTTCTTATTAACTTGTGCGCGTCTGTATTTAATTTTAATTTTACGTGACTAAATACAGTGAAAAAATGCCAGAGGATGTTACCATGGTCGGTGCCGGCGAAGTGGAAACCTTTGCCTTCCAGGCTGAAATTGCACAATTAATGAGCTTGATTATTAATACTTTCTATTCCAATAAAGAAATCTTCATTCGAGAACTGATTTCAAATGCGTCTGATGTAAGTATTATTTAATTTAATATTATATCATTGATATCCTTCTCGTCAAGTAATTAAAATTCTTTAAATTAAATGATTTTTATGTGAAATATTAAACAATTTTGCATTATTTTATAAAATGCTAACTGATCTTTTTTATTGTCTTTATGTAGGCATTAGACAAAATCCGTTATGAATCTTTAACAGACCCATCCAAATTGGACACATGCAAAGAATTATTCATCAAGATCATTCCCAACAAGAATGAACGTACCTTGACTATTCTTGACTCGTGAGTATTAGATTTTGTTTTATAAATTTTCTTTGTACATCGGAAATTTTAATTTTTTTCATTCATTGTATAAATTGCATATTGTGAATTCAAAAACTGAATTATTTGATTGTAAAATCAATTTAAAAATTTTATGATTTGTATAAACTTAAAATAGAAAATAAAGGAATTTTTTTTTCTTATAGTGGTATTGGCATGACAAAAGCTGATTTGGTTAACAATTTGGGTACTATTGCTAAATCTGGAACTAAGGCGTTTATGGAAGCTCTACAAGCTGGTGCAGATATTTCTATGATTGGTCAGTTTGGTGTGGGTTTTTACTCTGCTTACCTAGTAGCAGATAAAGTTATAGTCATCTCGAAACATAATGATGATGAACAATATGTATGGGAATCTTCTGCGGGTGGTTCCTTCACTGTCCGCCCTGACTTTGGAGAGCCAATCGGAAGAGGTACCAAGATTATCTTGCATATCAAGGAAGATCAAACTGAGTATTTGGAGGAACTTAAAATCAAGGAAATTGTCAAGAAGCACTCTCAATTCATTGGCTATCCAATTAAACTTGTTGTTGAAAAGCAGAGAGACAAAGAACTAAGTGAAGACGAAGAAGAGGAAGAAGAAGAAGAAAAGAAGGAGGGAGAGACTGAAGATACCAACAAACCTAAGATCGAAGAAGTTGGAGAGGATGAAGATGAGAATAAACCTAAAGATGAGAAGAAAAAGAAAAAGAAGACAATTAAGGAGAAGTATACTGAAGATGAAGAACTGAACAAGACAAAACCAATTTGGACAAGAAATCCAGATGACATTTCACAAGAAGAATACGGCGAATTCTACAAGAGCTTAACCAATGATTGGGAAGATCACTTGGCTGTCAAACACTTCTCTGTAGAAGGTCAATTGGAATTCCGGGCATTGCTCTTCGTTCCACGTCGTGCACCCTTCGATCTTTTCGAAAATAAAAAAAGAAAGAACAACATCAAATTGTATGTACGCAGAGTCTTCATTATGGACAACTGCGAAGACCTTATCCCAGAATATCTTAACTTCATCAAAGGTGTTGTGGATAGTGAGGATCTTCCATTGAATATCTCTCGTGAAATGTTGCAACAAAACAAAATTCTCAAAGTCATTAGGAAGAATCTTGTCAAGAAATGCTTAGAACTATTTGAAGAATTGTCTGAAGATAAGGAGAGCTACAAAAAATGCTATGAACAATTTAGCAAGAACATAAAATTAGGTATTCATGAAGATAGCCAAAATAGAAAGAAACTCTCAGAATTACTTAGATATCACACATCTGCATCTGGAGATGAAATGTGTTCACTGAAGGATTATGTTGGAAGAATGAAGGAAAATCAGAAACACATCTATTACATCACTGGTGAAAGCAGAGATCAAGTAGCTAATAGTTCATTCGTAGAAAGAGTTAAGAAGCGTGGTTTTGAAGTAGTATACATGACAGAACCTATTGATGAATATGTTGTCCAACAATTGAAAGAGTTTGATGGCAAACAGTTAGTGTCTGTAACAAAAGAGGGCTTGGAACTTCCTGAAGATGAGGAAGAGAAGAAGAAACGCGAAGAAGACAAAGCCAAATTTGAGAATCTCTGCAAAGTTATGAAAGATATATTGGACAAGAAAGTAGAAAAAGTTGTAGTATCCAACAGATTAGTTGATTCTCCATGCTGTATCGTTACATCGCAATACGGATGGACGGCAAATATGGAAAGAATCATGAAAGCACAAGCTCTCCGGGATGCATCCACTATGGGATATATGGCTGCCAAGAAGCATTTAGAAATCAACCCAGATCATCCAATTATGGAAAACTTGAGGCAAAAAACTGAAGCTGATAAGCATGATAAATCTGTGAAAGACTTGGTTATGCTTCTTTTCGAAACTGCACTTCTCTCTTCTGGTTTTGCGCTTGAAGATCCACAAGTACACGCATCTAGAATATATAGAATGATCAAGCTTGGTCTTGGTTTCGACGATGATGATATACCAAATGTAGAGGATGAAAAAATGGATACAGAAGTTCCTCCATTGGAAGATGACACAGAAGAAGCATCTAGGATGGAAGAAGTAGATTAAGGCTTCTATTGTTTAAAATTATTTAACTAAATCCAAAGACTTCTAGGATGTAGAAAGACTGTTACAAATTAATTCTATTTAAGTACTGAACCTTTCTTTTTTTGTCTTTCTATACGTGACAGAATGAAGTGTCATGCTTACTTAAGTATCATATAGTGCTAATTGGTATCTCTACTTATTTGATAAATATGAGAAAGCATAAGAGTTCGTGCATTCCGCAAACAGCAGTGCACTTTTAAATTAAACCTGCCACTTGATTCTGTCTTTAAATTCTTTTTTATGATGTCATTTTCATGCATCCTGTATCATTTTAATTTTTTTGCATTGTACATCATTACGATTTCATTTCGCACTTTCATCATTCCATTTTGAAATCGTCATGTAGCCTGATAAAAAATTGAAATCGTTATAAACAATTTTATGCGTAATAAAACAACCTAACATTAAAATAAGTGTTTTCTAAATTCCTCATCACTTAAATTCCCTATTAATTCAAAATTTTCTAACCTTCTATCGAGTATATTTAGTAGTTAGAAAAATTAATTTTCAAAAAAATTTAATAAAAATCTGTTTTATTCGTGTTGAGATTCTTAAACATGAATATTGAATAATATTTCGAAATATTGACGTCATAATACGTTAATGATATTTATTGATCATGTAAGTGCATTCACCGCACGTGGTGAATGGATTCATAGACTGTATATAAGTGAAGCAATTCTTCGATGTAGTAAATTTATGATAATCACAATAAATTAATTCAAGGTAATATTAGAGTTATATTTAAATATAGTGGACGACAAAGTTGTACGAGTAACATATATTTATTTATAGATGGACTATAAATTTTATAATGTTAATATTTTTCTACCGATTGAACTATGTATTGGCGTAGTTAACCGATAGGGCGCGACACTGGAGGTTGTCGAAGTGTTGCGTGTTGCCACATCACCACCAAATCAAACGTACTTGGACGATGTTTCTGTATAGATTGCGCTCCTGCCGAGATCTTCACAATACGTGGAAAGCGTGAGTTTCTCCACCTTGAATCATCATGTCAAAGTTTTCTTAAATTTTTAACGAATATTCACGGAATAAGCAAAAACCAGCGTGTAGATAATCTTCTATTTATCGAATAGCTTTCCCGGCTCGCGCGTAGACTGATAAATTATAAATTTTTTTTTGTGGCAAACTAACGTGGTAAACTAACGACACAATGAGCGCACAGGGTCAAGTGAAACCAAGAAACGGAGTAGTAAAACAGGTAACGCACTGAAATCTTACGGCAATCTGCTCGCTAAGCAATCTTTTACTTGAATGTAAATGCGATTTATGTGATTACTGTCATGTATAACCTCATATTCTGACATATATATGTTCGTGTACGATATAGTTTTGCATATAATCGGTACCGACAACATATGGTCCTTACATCGGAGTAATTTTGTTTTTTTTCGCTATTTTCTTTCAGTAGCAAACTATCAATTGTTATTCGGACATGTTTGTGATGTTAAAATATTACATATTCAATAAAGAAAAATCTTCTATTCATTTATTGTGCATTTTGTTCTGTACTATTGTAGATTTACTAGTCTTCAGTAAAATTTATTTTTGATCTTTTAGACTTTCATAAAAGATACATTATATTACGTAATATTCTCAATTATATGATGGTATATTCAAAATACATTTGGTTATATCCCCTTTTAATGTGGAATTTTATATTTGAAGGTTATTTCGGGGGATACCATTGTTATCCGTGGCCAACCTATGGGTGGTCCCCCACCAGAAGTTACTGTTACCCTCTGCAACATAACCGCGCCAAAATTAGAACGATGGAAAGGAAACGATAGGTATATTTGGTCTTTATTTTATTCTATTTTAATTAATTTGTTACGTTACAATCAACCTCTTTTTTTCAGTACGGATGAAAGTAAAGATGAACCGTATGCTTGGGAAGCTAGAGAATTTTTACGTAAGAAACTTATTGGTCAGGATGTAGCTTTTGTTACAGAAAAATCAATTAATACAAACAGAACTTATGGTACTGTGTGGTTGGGAAAAGGTATATTTCACACAAATTTTTTTATAAATTACTTGTTATAATTTAAAATTGATAAAATAATTCATTTGTTATAATTTAAAATTGATAAAATAATTCATTTGATTTTCTAACAACAGATAGAAATGGTGAAAATGTTATTGAAACATTAGTATCTGAGGGTTTGGTAACTGTAAAAAAAGATACTAGGAATCCCAGCCCTGAACAGACACGATTAATTGAATTAGAAAACGCAGCTAAAGCAGCAAAAAAAGGAAAATGGTCAGAATCACCAAGTTCTGAACACATACGCGATGTAAAATGGACTGTGGATGATCCTCGCAAGTTGATTGAGAAATTTGGGAAAAAATCAATGAAAGCTATTATTGAATTTGTATTTGATGGCTCTACAGTGAAGGCACTTTTATTACCTGATTTTTACAATATAGTGTTAATGATATCCGGTGTTCGTTGCCCTGGATGGCCAAATGGAAGACGTGAGAACTCTATAGGCGATCCTTATGCAGATGAAGCAAGATATTTTGTAGAGTCCCGTCTTCTACATAGAGATGTTGAGATAATTCTTGAATCTGTCAATAACAATAATTTCATTGGTAGCATTCTTCATCCAAAGGGTTAGTAGTTTAAAAATAAATCTTATATGATTACGTAAATGCAATCATAAATTGTGTTATGTCGAACAGGAAATATTGCCGAAATTTTATTGAATGAGGGATTTGCCAAATGCCAAGATTGGTCAATTAATAATAGTAGAGCTGGTGCAGAAAAACTCTATCTTGCAGAGAAAGCTGCGAAGGAAGCACGATTACGTTTGTGGAAAGATTATAAACCATCGGGTCCACAAATTGAGTTTACCGGTACTGTTGTCGAAATCGTAAATGCAGATGCTCTTATAATTCGAACCCAAAATGGAGAAAATAAGAAAGTATTTTTGAGCAGTATTCGACCACCGTCCAGAGAAAAAAAAACTAATGAAGAACCTAACAATGCAATTAAGAAAGATTTTAAACCACTTTATGATATTCCATGGATGTTAGAAGCGCGTGAATTTTTACGTGAAAAATTTATTAGGAAAAATGTAAAAATAGTGGTTGACTATACTCAACCTGCTAGAGACAATTTCCCAGAAAAATTATGTTGTACTGTTACTTGCGGTAAAACGTATGTTATAATAATTAATAATATATAATATTTAATATCTTCAAGTTATTTTATATAATATAAATATTTCTTTAGGAACATCGCTGAAGCTTTGGTTGCACGTGGTTTAGCACGAGTTATTAAATATAGACAAAATGATGACCAACGATCATCCCATTATAACTTGTTACAAGTTGCGGAAAGCAAAGCAGAAAAATCTCAACATGGTTTACATGCAAAGAAGGATATTCCTGTACATAGATTAGTAGATCTTTCTAATGATCCATCAAAGGCAAAAGCATTTTTAACATCACTTAAACGAGCGCAAGGCATTAAAGCTGTGGTTGAATTTGTTACGAGTGGTTCACGTCTAAAACTGTTTTTGCCAAAAGAAGATCAGTTAATTACGTTTGTCCTGGCCGGAATAAGAACTCCGCGATGCCAGAGATCATTGCCAGGTGGTGGTATTGTTAAAGCGGATGAATATGGAGAGAAAGTATTAGCTTTCACTAGAGAACATTGCTTCCAAAGAGATGTGGAAATAAAAATTGAAAGTACCGAAACTAAAGGAAGTGGATTTATTGGATGGTTAACTGTAAACGATATCAATATGTCTATTGCTCTTGTTGAAGAAGGTCTTGCAGAAGTAGTTACTTTCCCTGATTTTGGAGAATTAACAAGAACACTTAAAGCTGCAGAAGAACGTGCCAAAATGAAAAAGCTAAATGTATGTAGACTTAAGAAAATGTTACTTAAACGTTAGTTAATTAATAAGTTGTAAATTATTATTTTTTAACATCTTTACAGATGTGGAAGAACTATGTGCAAATACAAGTTGAGAACGAAAAAAACGAAAGTGATAAAGAAATCGTTGAAAGAAAAATTGACTATCAAGAAGTAGTACTTTCTGAAGTTACCGAAGATCTTCACTTTTATGCGCAAAGTGTTGATCAACGTAGCATGTTGGAAAATTTACTTTTGCAGTTGCGTCAAGAATTAGCATCTAATCCTCCACTTCCGGGTGCTTACAAACCCACTAGAGGTGAATTAGCGGTTGCTAAATTTACTGGTGATGATGAATGGTATCGCGTTAAAATAGAAAAAGTTTCTGGTACAAATGTCAGTGTATTTTACATTGACTATGGTAATAGAGAAACCATTAATGTCACAAGAGTTGCTGATTTACCGTCAAGATTTGCTAATGATAAACCCTATGCTCACGAACATGTCCTTGCATGTGTTGCCCTGCCAAACGATGTAAGTTTTTTTATAAAAAGAAAGTTTAATTTTTAAATATTTTACGTTTAAAATTATAAATGATTTTGTTTATAAATATTCATAGAACGATGACAAAAAAACAGCAGTTGAGATTTTTAAGGAAGATGTAATGGATAAAATTTTATTATTGAATACAGAATATAAACTAAACAATAATATTACTGCTGTAACTTTAGTTAATTCTTCTACTAATGAGGATATTGCAAAAGGACTTATTTCTGATGGGTTATTACTTGTTCAGAACCAACGCGATAGAAGACTTATTAAATTGGTAAATTAAAATTTATGTATTTTTATATTTATATATATTAGCACCTCACAATAGTACATACATACATACATACATACATACATACACAATACGCGCGCGCGCGTGTGTGTGTGTGAAATAATTCCCAAATATTAATTCATTTTATAGATTGAAGAATATAAAAAAGCAGAAGAAGATGCGAAGCATAGTCGACGCAACATTTGGAGATATGGCGATATACGAGCGGATGATGAAAAAGAATTTGGATTGTAAAGATTTAAAGGACTGATTAAAAAGTGATCAATACAGGGAAAAAGACATGTTACGAACTGCATAATGATTATGTAAGAATCCATTACATAAATTAACAAAAAATAATAAATGTCCATATGACAGTTAATGTTGCATTGATTATAATGCAGTTATATTTCATTACATAAAAATATGAATTGTACATAACAATTTCATTAATTCTTGTAATTTTTGAGTGAATTAGTGACATAATATATTGCATAATATATTGTCATCAATCATTATTTGTGTTACAATATGAAATTTAGTTATCATAAATTTTAATAATTCCATACATAACTACTTTAAAGTTTTCTATGTGCATTTATTTCTAATCGTATGCATTACAATTATGAAAAATTTCTTTTTTTTACAAATTTATATTACATTTGAATATAAAAATGAATATAAAATTATATATTTTGTCAAACATACTCATTTAAGTATGTAAAAATTTATATTAAGAAAGTTTACTGTATTCTGATTAAAAATAGCATCAGTAAATCATTGGTTAAACAATTTTACTATGTATGTATTACATATATATATATATAAAAAATTTTTCATCTGGTGTTATAAAAAGATATTTTTATTTTACACCTATTTTATTTCATATTAATTGTATTCTTATTTTCCTTGAAATTGAAATCAGAATTGCTTTTTTAATTTTTCATAGTTTTGTTTTTTATAAAAACTTAAAAAAAAAATATTCGTTAAATAATTCAGTCATTCTTGTATTTGTTTGATATTTTTGAAATTATAATGTATTACATTAAAATGATATTCTTAAAACAAAAAATAAGATTGCAGCACAAAACTTAGCGGTCTTAAATATATAAAATAAAGATTATTTTCTTCTAGAAATAAAATACGATTACTTTGAACATAAATTTATAAGAAATTTAAAAAATATTGGAAGTTTTTTATAAACGAATAATTATCATTATCATAAATAATTATCATGTTATGAATAATTTCATATACAAAATTATGCATTTTACAAGTGAGATTTATATATTTACTGGTGCAGACAAATTTGAAATTCTTATTCCAGTAATAAAATGAATATATTGAAATACAGTGTCAAATAAAGAAAAGGCAATATAAATATTATAAAGTTTTTGAAAACAAAATTTAAAATGTTCAAAATATGAATGTAGCAATTATATTAGTAATTTAAGGATTTGACTGATTTGTAACTATTTTACGACACATATGTTATACATACATGTGTTATACATACATGTGATATGTACTACAAATAAATGTAAAACTTTTTTATTTTCATTGCTATTTTTTTTTAAATATTATATTTTATTTATATGGTAATAGTAATTTTTTAATCACAATATCTTTATTCTTTAAATGAATATTTGTGTAATTACATAAATAATTTCTATATTTATGTAGAATTTTATATTTAATACATCAACTGTATTATTCTTAAATATTCTGCTGTCTTGTTACAAAGAGATATATAAATATTATAAGGTAAAATTATATAACTATAAATAATTTGTAGAAATTATAAATACGAACAATAGAGGATTAACTATATGGAATGAAAGTGAAATAAAATAAATATACCAGTCTAGAAATCTATTTTTATGTATAAAAACACAAAATTAGCTTGGAATAATTTAAATAATACTTATATTAATAAGTTATATATTGTTTTCAAAATCTATTGTATGTTTTAATACTATATTATCCCAAGAACAAGAATATAAATGGTTATCAAACCATGTAAGACCACGTACAAAGTCAGTATGACGATCATCTTTGTATATTAATGAAAACTGATTGTTTATATCAAACACTTCTACATAAACATCATCACAGCATGCTGCTAACTCCTCCATCCTGTTATGTATAATAATATAATAATATGTAATTTATTAAACCGATAAGATATAGATTTGTAATTTATTAGCTCATATTACCTTTCTGAATTTGGATTAAATAAGAGTCTATGTACAGGTCTAGAAAATGCAGATGATACTGATAATACGTTTACACCTCCCTTTCTAATATCAACCATTATAATTTCCCCATCATCGGTACCTATGGTTACAATATTTGATTGTTTGAGGCTCCAACATATCGCTGTTAAACCAGCATCTCTCTTTAGAATACCTAACAATTGAAATTTAAATTACATTTATAATTATATATAAATATTTATATTATTATTTAAATTACTTTGGGCTGGCTTTGATAGCCTTATGTCCCACATTAATGCTTCACAATCATACGATGTTGACACAAATTCTGTATCACTTCCAGGCTTAGCATCAACACAAGTAATTATATCTGTATGAGCAAAGCCAAATGAATATGTTGCCATTAACTCTGATATGTCCCATACTTTTATACTGTGAAATAATCCTTTGTTAGAAATGTTTAACATAAGATACTTAAATTGGTTTTACCAACAGTCCATTCCTCCTGAAACTATGTGTTTCTTATCAGCAAATGCAGACAGAGTTAACAAGCTGTTGTCGTGTAAAGCAGCATATCCTGCACATTGTAATTCTTCTGAATCGCTAGGTTTTGCAGATAAATCAAAAATCTCCAAAGCTCCACTATCTTCACCAATTACAAATTTGTCACTTTGTAGGAAAATACCATCGCAAACACCACTATCTGCCTTTATTTGGAGAGAAGTTTTATTTCTATCAAAATTTGTAATATCACTGTAATACCAGATATTACCACTCCAATAACGATCTGTTAAATTACTTCCTCCAAGAATAGCACTTTTCTCTGTGAATAAATAACATATTTATAAAAAATAAACTTATATTTACATATAAATATAAAATTAAAATTTTTACAAGTATTTTTGTATAAAAATTTAAATTATTTATTTACCATTACAAATACTGATAAACTGTAAGTGTTTATTAGAAACAGGTGGCCTATCTGTTATTGTCATGTTTCTATAAACATCTGCATTTAAATTAGGTGGTGTTAAAAAATCCATAATGCATTAACTTCCAAAATTAATACTAACAATATCACAATATCTTATTCGAAATACTGTAACATAAATCATAATGAATAATTTATATTGGGGTATTAAATGTATAGTATAAATTATTGTAGATCATATTAAGTACCATTTAAGAACTCATGCAAATTAAGTACCATTTAAAAGACAGAACAAATTTATTGATAGATTTATTAAATGGATATATCTAACCTGTGTATTTTTGTACTAGAGATACTTGTTTGCGGTATCACGTGTTCAGTATGCGTAAAGAATAGTAAAATTATTATCGCATTTGTATCGTTTCCGATGTTACCGATTCAGTATAGAATAAGATTACAACACTAATAGCGGTTGAAATGAAAACTAATTATAACAACGAAATTATAAAATATCTTATTTGAGATATATCTTTATTTTATATATTTTATAAATATCTGTACGTACGTACAAATAGGGTTAATTATTAGTGAATCTTATGGTGGAACGTAATAGTAATTACTAGCAACACTTAAGTTAGTAGTAGTTACTAGCAATAAATGAATAGTGTGCAAATTCATAAACCAACCTAATTCATAAACCCACGTGCATATTTTAATAATGATTAGTTAACAGAAATAAAAGACCTATCTGTATATAAATAAAGAAGATAAAATGATTGACATCTTAAAATTAATTTAACTTAAAGAATGAAGATAGACGAATTATCTATTAAATTATCTAGTAATATTCCTTGAATGTAATAACAACAAAGCGTATTATTTCATCTATTTATGTTTTATTTTCTGTAACAACGATCAACATCAATTAAACAGAATTACTGATCTCGGTAATTAGGAAATAGTTCCTATCGACGATCTCCTGGAATTTGGTTTGTATCGTGTGTCTTTTACCGGCATTCCGAGTTTAGAGATGTGTAGAAGTAGCGAATATGATTACCGCGGTAACGTCTGTTCGTGACGTAACGACTGTACTCCTGATAATTTCCGTCGTGACGCATGCGTATTCGATTCAGAGCAAAAATCAGAATTAGTCCAACGGAATCCCGGAAAGTAGCGAGTGCGAGACACGGCGGTACCGCTGTATAAAATCACAAGGAGCGTCGATTAACCTGTCAAGACGTGGTTTTATATCGTTATTTACGCGGTCGAAGGTGTTGCGGGTAATCGTTCGTAGAATTCGGTCGGCTTCCAGACAGGATGGTGAAGCCTGAGCAAATTTTAATTATCGAACCGCGAAGTGAACTGCGGTTCAGGGGTACGCTTAAACGACGAATCAGTCATTTATACTCGTATCATACTCGCACATTTCCTCCTTTCTTTAACTCCCTCCGAGTTTTGTTCGATCCGTGACTGGCAGGCGCTTTGTTGGTTAGTTAACACGAGCTGCACACGGTGCGCTACGTTGTCAAGATGACGTAAGGTTGACTCCACTAGCCAATTTTATTATATTTTGATTTGTAATCAAGTAGGATTGCGTATAATGACCCATCGAAAATCATCGGCCTTTTCAATCATACCTAACCCTATTCGTCGTACGTCATTCGCTGTCAAAGCTAAGTACAGTCACGATTCAATTTTCAACCTCCCCTCTCACTTCTCTTTTCCACTAACTGATATACAGTCAGCATATTCATCAAATTATATTATATGCATTTTTCCTATTGTATTTAATTTGTTTCGACGTTCCTCCAGCTTTTTCCCCGATAAAATATAGATTTTTTGTGCCTGCATTTATATTAAACGATATATACGAATATTCGTTTAGTACGTAAATTTGTTTGCATTCAACGAAAGCTCAAGAGTACATACGCGGTTTAGAATGTCGAGAAAAGATGGTTCACAGTATAACAAACGGTTTTTGTTGAATGACATTTATAAAGAAGTTGCTCACATTGTAGTTTATATGATGAAAAATTTTGTAAATGTAACCTAACTGTATAAACAAAATATTAAGATGTTATTCTCCTCATAATTGTATTGTATACATTACATCTATACTATATTATTTGGATTCTATTTTGATATTTTGAAATGCATGAAAGAATAACAAGATGAACACTTATATGAGTGGTACATGTATGCTTTATGTGATCTTTGTTATAAAAGAAATAATGAAAACAATATTTTATAACGTTTTTTAATATAACTTTTGTGTTATATTACAGGCCCTTTCACAGAAAGAACAGTCACATCGTATATAAAATTAACTAATCCATCGAATCACAAAGTTTATTTTAAAATAAAAACAACTGCTCCAAAGAGGTATTGTGTACGACCGAATTGTGGATATTTGAAACCAATGGAAATTTCACAAATAGCTGGTTAGTTTTGATTTGCTAATTAAATATACAAATTACAATCAACTTTTAGTACAACTGTATTGTAATAATTAATATGGATTTTTCGTAATTCAAATTATTTCTGTTTATAAACAAGATAGTTTATTTCACTAGATATTGTATTTTTCAGTGACTCTTCAACCATTTGATTTTGATCCAACAGAAAAAAATAAACACAAATTTATGGTGCAAGCTTTAGTAGCTCGTGATAATGATGATGAAGAAAATCCAGACATGGTATGTAACATTATAATTATTAGTCAGCCAGAATGAAAGATATTTCTTTTTATTGTTCTTTTTTTTCTGTATTAGTCTTACGATTAATTATGCTTAGTCTTTTTGTGTCTTACATTAGCCTTATTTCTATCTTTTACTTGTAATCATAACATATAATTTCATTTTAAAGTGGAAAGGCATAGATCCGGAACAATTGATGGAATCTAAACTAAAGTGTGTATTTGAAAATCCAGTAATTCAAACTATGACAGCTGAAACAACTAAATCAGAAATTACCACAAATAATGGTAAAAATAAAGGTGTTGGTGATTCTGTTAAGTCATCGCCAATAAAGGTAATAATTAATGTCAATTTGCCCCATGCCTTCACTACTGTTATGTAAGTAAATGATATGTTTATTTTATCAGATCTCTGGAGAAACAGAAGAAAAACTGATAAAGGCAGCGCAAGAAGTAAATCAGCTTAGGGAAGAAGAGAGTGCCCTTAGACAGGAAAATCTTCAGTTGAAGGTAAATAATTGAAAACAGCGTAAATAAAGTAATGGATATGGGTTATTTTTATTATTTGTAGGAGGATCTGTTGCAATTACGAAATGTCCTGTTGGTTAACGAAGCTACGTCGGCTAATAAAAATTTTAACACACAGAATAGTAGCGAATCGTCACCAACGGTTACCAGCATCCTTATTGCTGTTGTCATGGTTATATTAGGATATGTGCTGGGAAAAATGATCTGAGCACCCATTACTTTACCGCATAACTTGGCACATCCCCTCTTCCCCTGTGTTTCTTAGCCTGCCCCCCTGCTACCATATACCACGTACTGATCGCAGAGGTCGAAACCAATCATCGTATTACACGATTGTTCATAATAAATACTATAAACATGAACGGGTAGTGGTTTACAATAATAGAGTTATTCGCTGCAGGAGTGTGCTTCTATTTTGGTAAAGCGATCAAACTTGAAATCCTTTTTTAAGAAATGAATACTATACTCAGATGGCATGCATCGAGGTATAGATGCAGGAAATCCTGTGGATAAATTTTGTTATTGTTACGTACCAGAAAATATTAGTTTAAGTAGCAAATTATAAATAAAAATTAAACACTATGTATCTTCATGTTTATATATTACTTCTGTTCTCACGTTTCTTATAAAAGGATTCTCGCTTTACAAATTCGCTTGCGGCTGTGTCTTTGAAACCATGTTGCCACTAACTAAATTATGTATCGGATATAAAAGTTTACGAAATATAATTCTTTTAAATGAATACATTCAATAAAAGAGAAAGTGAATTCAATTGTTTCAAGAACTGTGGTGCATCCTTACATAAAACGAAAGAAAACAGAAAACAGAATGAATTCGAATATTTTTTTGACATTCTAACAGTACTTAACAATCACACAATGTAAGATTGTACATAATGTATTTTAAGATAATGTATTAATATCTAACGTATATAGTCAGGAGGGGGAGGGGGGCTGGCTGATTAGTAGTGGTTCATGACTCAGAATTTGGATACGCTGGCTCTATCCATCAGCAATGGTAATATCATTTAAGGAGTTGATGCATTAAAGTTTTTGACGCTTCAGTGTATTTTTATTTCTTTATGTTTATCTTATAAAAATTCGAAATAAAGATATCTCGGATGTCACATGGTGAAAGTTTTGTATTTTAAACCTTTCTACTGGTAACTGTGTTTTTAAATAATTTCAAGTGGTGCATGGTATACATAGATATGGTATCGCTTAAAAATTTTGTCATATTGGATCATAAATTTATTTATATAAATGTATGTGTATTTACATATACACAGACATTTATATAGTAAAAAGTAATTCGTAGATTGATCACATCTTAAGTAGTATTAAACACATCACAGTTATTACGTGTGTGCATATATATCTATGCAGACAAATACACATCTACATACATATACATTATGTAAAATTCATATATCTGTGCCTTAGAAGTAGAGACAGGAATATATTTATGTTTCGCTAAAATTTTATTATTTCAATATTTCCTGATTTTGCAAGATTCTCTTGGCTCTTTTCAATAATAAGCATTTGTTCATTGTATATACGTATAAATTCTGACAGATGTAAAAATTTAAACATTTATTATTTACAGACTGTTATTTATAATTTTCAGGATATACGTATACGTTCATACGTATATCTTTTTTCATTATTTTTCGAGTTTCTAATCAACAAGTTACAAATTCTCCATTTCATTGATGTTTTAAAAAAATGTTTAATGAGTTATCGGTAACTAATCGGTGCAATATATGTTTAATATAGTGCGAGTTTAATATGATGCAACGATTTTTCATTTTATACATCTTTGCCGTTTATGAAGTATAATCATCATTCTTCCTATTATATTGACGTGTTTATAACACGATTACGAAATAATCGTCTAGCGTATCATCTAAGGTACAGGTATAAACTGCTTTTTCTGTACGAATATATGAGGCACATAAGAAAATGGTTTGAGAATTCTCCGTTAATCAAATACGTTGCAACTTCTTGAGAGAACAACTTGTTAAATGTATTATTTAAAATGATATATATATATATAAGACGACGCTATTACACACTGGCACAAAATTGTTTCGCCCAAGAGAAGAATTTTTTTACACATGATTATTCTCGATTTATCGCTTGAATTCTTAATCCATTATGAAGTGTCTCGCTGTTACTACATTATTATCACTGTTGTGGAGAAAATGTAACGATATGTAGACATTATAACATTAACGATATACATAACTCGGAAGCGAAACGAAGCCGTTGTGTAAATAAAAAAGAGAAAACAAAAAAGCAAAATGAAATATGATTGAATCTATAAAGATTATAAAATGATCGTAAG